GCGTGAAGCATCTGTCGTTCGTCCCTCCAGGCCCAGAACCCCCTCTTCCACACCAGGAACATAAAGATGTCACGCACCTTTGCTACTTTGACTTCCGTGAGGGTGACAAGGTCTGGAAGCCCTCGAAGGACATGGCAACCACTGCGTCATTTGCCTGTTCTTAACCATGTCACCAGAGTCTAGGCCCTAAAATGCCTTACCCCTTAGTCAGCCCCCAGCCCCAGCTCCAAACTGGCGTGGCCTTCCCTGACTGCCTCAGTGGGCCATCTGTTCCCTGGGCTTTTTTTAGAACTCCTTTTACTAAGCGTGATTGACTCACAGGTGCTTCTGAAGATGGTTCTAGGCCGTAGAATGGGAGGAGGTGGGAGAGGACATAGAAGGGTTGCCACTGAGCAGAACTGGTAATGTGGTGCCTGTGGTCGGTGGCAGCCCATGGAGTCAGACTTTGTGACCTTTCCTTCAAGCAATGCATGTTCCATGTGGAACATGTGGACGTGTTTTAGGAACGTGATTTGGAAAAGATGGCAGTCCAGATCAAGCACATGTGTGGAAGGGCCATGTGTTGGCACCAACTTCCTTCCCACAGGGTCTCCAGGGAGAACTTGTCCCACTCCCCAGGTCTCCCGTTCCAGAGCCTTCCTTCACTGGCCCCAGAAGCAGTCAGCGTCAGGCCTTTCTCAGGCCACCTCAGGCATCTGACTCCCAGACCCCTATGCACAAAGCTGGCATCTGGTGGCTTTCCTGGCAGTGTGGCCCCAAGAAGCTTCACAGGGAGAGCTGCTAGCAGTGGTGGCTCTTGCTGTCCCCTAGGAATGCTTGCATTAAGTAAAAGTTGTTTCTTTATTGGTTAGATATGCTTCCCCAGTCTCTGTGTAATAACCTTCCCCCTTGACTGTCCGAATGAGGGTCTAAATGAATCTCACTTAGGTTTTTTATTTAAGGCAGCTGGCAGACTCCTTTGGGGTTCCGGGCCCGCTGACATTGAGGTCCCTGTGGGACACCGAGGAAGGTGTGGCCGGAGGTGGCTGAATATCCTGGCCTGGAGCTCAGGAGAGAAATCAGGCTGGGCACAGACATGCGGTGGAAGCCGTGGCAGTGGATGTGGTCTTCCGGGAGGACCCTGGTCATAGAAGAATACAGAAGACCGTGGACAGATTTAGGTGGAAGTGGGGGAGGGGGACGTACCAGAAAAGAAAAAAGTAGCCGGAAAATAAGACTGAGGCTGGGGTTCGTGAGAAGCAAGAAGACAACCGGAGAGAAGAGAGCGGAGAGCATGGTGCTGAATGGCGGGTACAGGGAGTGGGAAGGGGTGGAGGGGCTGCCCTACGGCAGGCGGTCACTAGTAAGGGACAGAGCAGTGGTGGTGGAGCAGGGGCCGGGACAGGCAGTCACTAGTAAGGGACAGAGCAGTGGCGGTGAGCAGGGGGCTGGGAAGGTGGGGAGGGAAGCGGCACTGACAGCCTGGAAAAGACGTCTTTCATCACGACTGTCCTTGTTATTATTATCCCCATTATTATTATTGTTCATGGAGGGGAGGGGGGAGGTTGCAGGGAGGAGAGAGGGCTGGAGGGCAAGGCTGAGCAGGGGAGGGGACGGGGTGCAGTGCCCAGGAGGAGAGCGGATCCCCAAGACGATAGGTTCTCTCTTCCACTGAAGCCAAGGAAGGGAGAGGACGCAAGTGAATTTGCGCGTTTGGTGGCAGAAAGCTTTCTTCTCACAGCTCCTGTTTTCTCCCTGATGAAGCCAGGGAGCATCCACATGACAGAAGAGAGGCCCCAGAGGAAGCTGGCAAAGGACTGTAAAGGCTCGGACTCTCCTTTCACATCCAGTTGACCTCAGCAGAGAACTCGGAGCCAAGGACTGATGGGGCGAGCTCAGGGCCCCAGCACCCTTGGGAGGGGGTCTGTGGCTTCCCAGGGACAGCCTGGTGGCTCACGCGGGATGCAAGCCCACCAGCCTCAGCCCAAACCCTTGTCTCCTTCTAGAACCAGCTGTGTCTCCTCTGGTCAATTTTAACTTAATTACGCTCAGATCAGTTCCATAGCATAGACCTTTTTTAGGCATTAGTGACTGGAAGAGTTTTGTTCTATTACTTCACATTTTCCAAACCCACTTCACACAGATGGAATGTCTTGTAATCCTATAAGGCCAAACACAGAAGAGGAGCAGTGCCAAGGAGGTGGGCCCAGGACTTGTTTTAGTACAGATAGAATGGTCTTATTTCTTTTGACGTCCTGATAAATCTTGCTGCCCTGAATTTGGGAGATTTCAACACTGAGGAACGCTCATACTCCATTCATTCAGCACATGCGGCTTGGCATCCACTGTGAGCCAGGCCCGTGCCCTGCATGTTACCTCCTTTGCCAGGCTTTACCTCTTTCAGTCTCTGCCACAATTCTGTGGAGTTAATTTCGGTGTCCCTGTTTCATCAGCGATGAAAACAGTGCCGACAGAGGTTAACTTGCCTGAGGTCGCCTCGGAAGTAAGTGGCCGGGCCGGGATTCAGGGCAAGGTCTTTTGGCTCTTAAGTCCTTTGCTCCTTCCGTTTCATCAAGGAACCCCTCAGACATAATGTTTCACTCTGTTCTGGTTTTCATTTTAAATGCCTCGTGTCTCTCAGTGCGAAAGGTTCTTGGGGGAATTGTCAAAACCCGAGAAGTGTACAGTTTCTGAACCACGGTCTTAGAAATGTTCCAATCAAATAAATGTGGGGCAGATGTATTAAGTACTTGCTTTGGTTCCTGCCTGCATGACATCAGCAAAGCAAGAGAGAAATCGTAATAGATTTTGTTAATAATTGAAGGTTACACCAAGAGCACGGTGTCGGAGGCAGTGGAGGGTGTTTGGAGTTTTCCGGAGTCTCACAGCAGTGGGGCCCTGGGAAGGGAAAGGTGGATAACATGTACCATAAAGTGCTTGTTATGTGCTCCGTGTTCTGCACGTCTGGATCTCGTTTAATTGTTACAATGAGCTTCATAGATAAATTCAATCTCATACTCCTTTAAAGATGTGAAAAACTGAGCTTCTGAGAAGGTTGTCTTCTGAGAAGATCATGGAGCTGGTGTGCGGAGGCCAGCATACAACGGGGTCTGTCTAATTCTGAGTAAGATTATAGACGTTTAATTTAATGTGTACAAATAAGCACGCATGTGCGCATACACTTACATATATGTGTATAGCTTTTGCTGCTTATTAAAGAATTCAGGAAAAAACAAAAGGAGTGACTATTAACGAGAAATTGGGCCACAACCAAGCCTCAGTCCTTGAAACACCTCTTTTATATCTGATTATAATCCATTCCTTTCCAGGACTGGTTTTGGAACCCACAGAGGAGGGAGACTCTTGTTCTCACAATTAAACTTTGAAAGGGCCTTGGCAAAATAATTAAAGTATCTGTTCTAAAGGGGAGGGGAGGACAGTGTAACCGAGGCAGGCTGAATACCTATTTTTAGAACAAGGAGAATCATGATAAACAGAGGTAAATGCTACATCTCAAGGAGGTTCATGTCTTCTTGGGAGAGGAAACGAGTCAAGGTATTCATTCAAGAGGATGGATCCTCAGCCCCTCCCTCTTTGCTAAATGGATGTGGTGTGAATTACATGAGGTAACAGGTGAAGTGCCTCGGCCAGCATCTGACATGCGGGGGGACTCTTGATAAATGGTAGCATCCATTAACAGCCTTGTCATTACTGTCACTTGGGGTCTAAATTGTGAAGGTGTAAAGGACTTGGCAGGGCCAAAGATGGTTGTGTTTTCCTGTGTGGGTGGCCTGGAGGAGAATGGTACATTTACAGAAGTGGGACAGCTGGAAAAGAAGCTGAGTGTGTAGCCCCAGCTTGGTGCCTCAGCGCTTTCAAGTCCAGGCCATTGACCTTGTATCCTGAGCTGTCCATTGCCTCCAGCCAGGCTTCACACAGCACCCATGGCTTATAGTTGGGTCCCGAGATGCATTTGAGGGGCACAGCACTTCAGACAGAGCTGCTCGGCCAACGAGTTTTGTCTCTGGCCATTCCCACTGCCCTCCCTGACTTCCTGGTAGACCCCTATTCCTGCTGGTGGGCAGCTGGCTCCCCCTAAAGATTTTATTAAAGTTCCAGATGTGTGGCCAAAAAAATGTTATTAATAGTAGCAAGGCCTGATATGAATTAAAAGGAGGTCTTATAACTTAGGGGTAGAGGACTTTAGTTTGCCTCCTTTCTTCTGTTCTTCGCCAGGGCTCCCAAACCACAGGCTGAGAATGCTGGGCCTTGGATAATGGGTTTTCTCTGGTCCTCATATGCACCCCAAGTCCTCCTGCTAGAGTGTTCCTGTTAGCTCCCTTGGGTAGAAACCCGCCTTGCGAACAGGTAAAATTTGGAGAGCTTGATTATTCAAATTGTAACAGTAAACCTGTTAGAAATGAGACAAGGCCCCTGAAGATGTTAAAGGCAACCTCTCCTTCTACCCCCTGTTGGTTGTATGCGATAGGGGAGGGGCTGACTTCAGTAAGGGGTGTAAGTGGTCCCAGAAGCTTCTCTGATTGCAGCGGGCTTGGACAAGGAGGTTCCCTCATTCCGGGAGTGGAGGGTGTCATGTGACATCCTTTGTCCATATTTTACTTTAAAATTTTTAAGTTCACCTGGGAGGACAGGTCTTTCTAGCTAACACATTATGCCCTCTCACAGACAGTTTGCCTTCAGAAGGGACTTCTGGTCCCATGGGAGCTGGCAGAGGAGGCCGTTTGTGGTTGAGATCATTTGGGCACAGAAGTCCCAGGAAATGTGGCCAGGGTTACGGAGCAAAGTGTCCTACTTTGCATCCTCACTCCTGGGGGTCCCGGGATGCACCTCCATCTATAGATCCAGCCCTCCTCTCCAGAGGAGGGGGCGAAGACTCTCCCACCCTGCTGAAGATACGAATGGCCAGGGCTTTGGCCTTCCCCACCTGTGCGTCCACATTCCAACTGTGTATTTTGCATCCCGATTAGAATCGCTGTTGAAATTGACTCTGTGCTTCCTAGGAACTGGCCAGCTGTGGATGGAGTAAGAAGGAGAAACATAGTCTCGCCCCCAACGTTGTGGCCTTTACCCGGAGGTTTAACCAGGTAAGCAGTACCCCTTGCGTGCGGCTGGCCAGGTAGTGATGTGTTGTCCCCTGTAGGCTGGGAGCCCTGCCAGTGTTCAGTCCCCAGGCATCTGGCCCCAGGTCCAAAGCCCTCTTCCTGGACCATCCCTCCCATCAGCCCTTTTGCCTGCAAGGTCCTTCTTCACAGCAGGTGCAACTGAATACATCTTTCCTGGGTTTAAATCACTTCATTGGCTCCCACTTCCACCTAAGCTAAGGCTCAAGCCCCTTCCTCGCCCTCCAGGGTCCTGTGCGGTGGGTCTGGGTTCTGTCCTCCCCTCCTGCCTCATCTCCTGTCCCTCCCCCCGCTCCCAGGCTTCAGGCATCCTGGCCGCCTGCTCTTCCCTCATGCACCCAATCTCTGCCCCGACAGGTCCCAGATGTGCTGCCCTCTCAACTCAGAATTCTTCCTCTCTGGTTAGCCCCCAGTCTGGTCTCCATCTGGTCCCCACGGAGCTTTCTGTGAACCCCCAGCCTGTGCGAGGCCTTGCGGTCAGACACTCCCTCACTGCGCCCTGCTCTGCTTTCTCCGTGTGGTCCTTTGCCCATCCGCCCTCACTCCGTGCTGCTCTTGCGCCTCCGTCTTCCTTGCCAGTCTGTGGGCTCCATGAAGGTGGGAGCTGCATCCAGCTCGTTCACCTGTACGCCTCCCACCACCTGGCCTAGCGTCAGGCATAGGATAGATGCTCAGTACCCACGTGCGGAATGGATGAATGAGGTGCTCAGAAAACACTGGTGGAATTGGATTTCTCTGAGTGCCCGATGGCCTGGTCGCTGGCCCCATACATTCTATTGCAAACTGACTTGGTCCAACCAGAACCTTTGCTCCAGTATGAAGATCTGCACCCGCACCTAAGGGAACGATGATGGAGACTTGGACCAACTGAGGGCAGTGGGCTTCTGGCTTCTCAGCCAGATGTACCAGAATGAGATCTTTGGTAGAAAGTACCCTGTAATAAGCACCCCTGCCCTTGGTTGGACCAAACCCCCAAACGGTGCTGTTGACAGTTTTTCTTCTTTCATTTTGTTTTTCTGGTTTCAAATGAGGACAGTGGCTTAGAAATTGCATAGTGTGCATGACTGGACCTCGGAGTGATGGGCCTGGGTTCCCTTTGGGCTTCCCACTCAGAAGTGCTGGGCCCTATGCGTCACCACTGCCCAGCCGTCCCCAGACCTCCGTAGCCTCGGCTACCACCCGGGGACAGGGAAAGCCTCCGAGAGGCACCAGCTTTTCATCTGAAGATCAAAGACTGGAGTTTGCATGGTTGTTGTTATAATAGGAACTAAGAAGGCCTAGGCATATATACTGTTCTGAACAGAGAAGTTTTGAAGCTTTTGTTTCTTTTCTCTCTTTCTTTTCAAAATCTTTTCCTTTTCAACTGAGCTTAGGCTTTAAAAAATAAAACAGATGTGCACACACTATCGGAGGATTCATAGTTTCCTTCTCAAAACTATTTGACTGGAAGCCAGCTCAGTCCCACCTCTGGCCAGCCACAGCGCTCCCGGAGGAGGGTGGCCAAGGGCTCTGCTGTATCTGCCTTGCACACGGAGGTCTGGTCAGCCTGGCAGAGGGGGGTGCGGCTCGTCCCGCGAGAAGCTGCATTGTGTCCAGATCGGACCGAGTGGGCAAAGCGAGCCAGAAGCCAAGTCACATTTTCCCAATCAGAACCCGCTCTGAGGAATGGTCCTGCTGCCAGCCTGTCAGCTCCTCCTCAGAACGAGCCGCTCCTGGGCCCAGCCGTCATGGCTCTGGCTTGAAAGCTGGCCAGCAGCCAGGCCCGGTCAGCCACTGGGGCTGCTTTCTCTGAGATGAACTGATTGGCATCCCTTCCTGGCAGACTTTTATTTGTGAGAACAAGGCTCCTCATCAGACTCCAGATAAAGGAAAGCAGGTCAGTTACCTTGCTGAGCCTCAGTTTCCTTATCTGTAGACGAGAATAACAGTATGACTCCCCTTGCGCAGTTGCTGTGGAGATGAAGTGAGCTGGCATAGGAAGAGCTCTTAGCACACTGTCTGGCAGGTGGTAAGCATCCAGAGGCTTTTGGGGAAACTAAGAGGGAACGGGAAGGTCAGCCGATTGGAAGGGGGTTGCCGGCAGATATGAGGCTTCCTGTGGCCAAACCAGAAGCCCGGTGGCCAGCAGCCTGCTTTCTCTGTGGGACTGGAGTCCCTTGGAGTTTGTTCATAGAGCTCACAGAGGGATGGAAGTGCCCTGCTGAGCTCACTGAGCTGGCTGTTATGGGCCAGGCTTATATCGCAGCCCCAAAGAGTTCACCACAGAGCACAGGAGCGCTCAGCCTTTTCTGGATCATGTGTTCTTTTGATGATTTGGAAAAAAAATATGCATATATGAACCTGCCTCCAGATAAATGCACAGATGTATAAATTTGCGTTTAATTTTAGTGAGTTCAGGGCTTGCCCCCCCCCCCCCCAAATCTGTGCACAAACACTTTAGGGGCCTGTGAGCAATAGCCTAAGAAGCTGTGGTCTCAAGAGAATCCAACCCTTAAGGGTTTGCATCTTAGCCCTATGACTTGCTGGCTGTCCCATCTTGGGTTGTCTTTTGACCTTTCACCTTCCTTATTTATCAAGTGGGAAGAATCATTTCAACAGGTTTTTGAAGATTAAATGAGAATTGTGGATATCAAGGGTTTAGGCCAGCACTTGCCACATAGTAAACAATTGGCATTAGCTTTAGAAAAGGGTGCAGAGTAGTGAGAGCTCTGAACTGAAGGACAGTGAGGCCCGGACTCATTGCTGGCAGCAGAGTTGGAATTGTGTCCTGAAGGTGCTGAAGAATTTGGGAAAGATGAGGAGGAAGTTGGGAGAACTTGGTTCTGGTCTAGACCCTACTGCCAACCTGTTTGAGGCCTTGGGCAAGTCACTTCCTTTCTCTGGGTCTCAGGACCCTTCATATTAACCGAGATTGGGCAGGGCCAAAGGCTCCTGGTTCCAGGAAGCTGGGTCCCTTCTCTGACAGCTTCTTCCTCCGTGGCTGCGAGATGGCTGCCAGCAGCCCCTGCTCATACCCTAGTGAGGGCAACCGCCAGCAGAGACATCTTGCCTCCCTTTCAGTTACTCTGTCATCTGATGTGTGGTTGCTCTGGCTTGTGTCCCATCCCATTCATCCTGATCAGTCACTCTGACCAGGAAGACATGAGGCTCCGGTTGGCCAGGTCTTAGAAATAAGCCTGCCCATGGAGTGAGGGGCAGGGGGCCTAGGCCTCGTGGGCTGAGAATGAAGAAGTGGTCATTCCTCAAGGAACTGAGGGATAGAGGGGAACTTCCTCAACTCGATAAAGGACATCTACAAAATCCCTGCAGCCAGCATCATACTTAAGGGTAAGACATTGCGTGATTTCCCCCTAAGACTGGGAACAAAACAAAGATGTGCTCTTTGAGTACTTCCATTCAGTAGTGTACTGGGAGTCCTGATGAGTGCAATAAGATTTTTTAAAAAATATATGAAGGTATATAGATTGAAAAGGAAGAAATAAAACTGACTTTACTCACATATGACATGATTGTCTATATAGAAAATCTCAAAGAAATCTGTAAAAAAAATTTATTGAAACTAGTAAGTGAATATAGCAAGTTTCAGGACACAAGATCAATATACAAAAGCTGTCCTATATATAAGCAATAAAGAATTGGAATTTGAAATAGAAAACCCCCACTCCATGTACAATAGTGTGCATGTGCACACTTGTGTGCATACCCACACACACATACACACATAATGCTTGGGTATAAATCTAACAAATTACTTAAAGGTTCTATATGTGGAAAGCTGCAAAAAACACTGATGAAAGAAATCACAGTATATTGAAATAGATGAATATTCCATCTTCATGGTTTGGAAGACTCAATATTAAGATGTTAGTTCTTCCCAACTTGATCTATAGAGTGATGCAATCCCAATGAAAATCCAATCAAACTATTTCATAGGTAGAAAAAACTGATTCTAAAATAGATATGGCAAGATTAAAGACAGAATAACCAACACTATGCTGAAAAAGAACAAAGTTGGAGGACTCACTCTACCTGATCTCAAGACTAACTGTAAAGCTACAGTAATCAAAGAAAAGACATCTAGTAACGGAACAGAATAGAGATATGGTCATCTGATCTTTGACAAATGCATGAGAGCATTCAATGGAGGAAGGGTAACTTCTTCAACAAAATGGTACTGGAACAATTGGTACATTTTTTTTAATGTATGTAAAGTAATGGACCTAGACACAGACTATAGGTCTGTCATAAAAATTAAAATAGGGCGCCTGGGTGGCTCAGTCAGTTAAGGGTCTGATTCTTGATTTCAGCTCAGGTCATGATCTCACAGTTGTGAAACTGAGCCCTGTGTCAGGCTTCATGCTGAGCTTGGAGTCTGCTGAAGATTTTCCCTCTCCCTGCACCTCTCCCCTGCTCGCACACTGTCTCTCTAAAACAAAACAAAACAAAACAAAACAAAGCAAAACAAAAGCCCCTCAAAATGGAGCATAAACCTAAATGTGAAAGACAACACTATAAAACTTTTAGGAGAAATCCTAGAAGAAAATCTATATGACCTTTGGTGATGAGTTATTAGACGTAACACCAAAAGCACAATCCATGAAAGAAAAAACTGATAAATTGGACTTCATTAAAATTAGAAATTTCTGCTCTGCAAAAGACACTGGTAAGATAATTAAAAATCAAATCACAGCCTGGGGAAATACTTGCAAAACACATATCTGGTAAAAGAATTGAATCCAAAATATACTCTTAGAACTCAATGATAAGAAAACAACCCAGTTAAAAAATGGGCGGAAGATCTGGACACCTCACCAAGGAAGTACAGGTAGCAAACATATAAAAAGATGCTCAACATCATTTGTCCTTGAGGAAATACAAAAACACTATGCACCTTTTAGAAGAGCTAAAATAAATCAGCGACAGTACCAGTTGTAGGCAAGAATCTGGAGCAGTACTCATTCTCA